GCTTCAGTGTAGTAACGATTTGCGCGCGGATCGTCACGTATCCGGGTTCGCCGTCGAAGAGAAGGGCGCCGGTTCCACTGGCGCCGCCTCCCCGTCAGCGGCAGCCGCGGCAGCCGAGGCTGAGGGGACCTCCTCGCCGTTGTCGTTGGCCTCAATGTCGATGGCGCGGCAGATGAGCGATGTCAGGGGGATGAGGTGCTGCTTCGTCGCCTGGTAGGCGGACGTCAGCAGGTCCCACTCGATGGCGACAGCCGAGGCGAGGTGCGGCTTGGACGTTGGCAGGCGGATGATGTTGGTGGTGCCTGGGTGGCGGAGGGGGCGGTTGTCGAGCATGACCTGCAGGGCGCCTGTTCACCATGTTCCGTCTGTCAGTCACTCTGAAGTGTGTCTCTTGCCGAGTCTTGTGTGTGTATGAGGAAGTGAGAGAGGAAGAGAGAGAGAGGAAGAGAGGGAGGAAGAGAGACAGGAAGAGAAGAGAAGCGTACCGTCCACCTCCTCGACGCGCACCTCCTTCCAGAACCGCCTCTTGAGACCGCCCTTGACCCCCTTCATCGACGCGGCGTTGCGGATCTCCTGGGGCATCTCGAGCATCTCCGCCTGTCTCTTCCGCCGCGCCAGCTTGGCGGCCGCCTCCTGGCCCAGCTTGCTCTCGGCCGAGAACTCGGCGGCGGATCGTGGTGCCTCGGGCGGCGGGCCGGTGCCCACGACGGGCGCGACGTCTGCCGTCTTGAAGACTGTCGAGGAGAGGCTGCGATGGGATTGGCGCAGCAGGGGCGCTGTGGCTGTCGCGATGCGCGGAATGGCCCGGCGCGGCATTCTCGTGATGGCCTTCATGGCGGCTGGGGAGTTTGCTGCGAGGTTGCTGCGAGGTTGCGGCTGCTGGCTGACTTGAGGTTTTCGTTGCAGCCGGCCGGGTTTCCCAATTGATGATTTTTGGAGATAGGAAGGAGAGCGACGGAGCTTCGACACGCTGGGGTGGGGCGCAGACCCACATCGGAGCTCGGTGGTGGTGCCCGCCGATGTTCCGTGCTGACATCATCCACTGCCTTGGCCAGAACCCCCTGAAGTCACCTTCGCCCTGCCTTGCATTTGTGTCCAGACATATCGAGAGGTCAAATCACAGCGCTTCCATTTTCCTATTTCTCGCCGGCTATGCCTCCGTCTTGCCTTGCTCTCTCTGATGTGATCTGTTCTGTAGAAGCTGCTGGCCGCCCTTATTTGTTGTCCCGCTTAGATGTTCTGCTACTGACTGTTTGTGTGTGTGTGTGTGTGTGAAGAACCTCTCTGCCCGCAACGCCGGTACAACCAAGCCTGAATCATCACCTCTGCCGAACCCCGTCTAGGACCCCTCGCCTCTCTTTTCTCTCTTTTCCACGTACACAAGGTAAAAGTACATCCATCTGCCCTACGCCCGCGGTGTGCCCTCAGTCAAAGTCGACGTCGAGCTCGAGGTCAATCTCGCCGATGATGTCGTCGTCGCAGATGGGGCGGTGGATCACGGGCAGGCCCTTCTTCTCCGCCTTGCGCGCGTTCTCCAGCGCCTTGGCAATGTGCGGCAGCACCTCGGACTCCTTCTTGGCGGCCGCCATCTTGGGCGTGCCGCTGGCCGGCGTGCCGTTGCCGCTCGCCGCGCTGTCCTCGGCCTTTTGGTGGTTCTGGTGCACAAACTTGGTCTTGGTGCGGATGCGTCGCGAGAGGTCAATGTCCGTCACCTCGCCGCGCTCAATGGCCGCCTCCTTCTTGCGCGCCTCGTGCTTCTCTTTGAGCTGCGCCTTGCCGACGTTGGCCGCGTTCTGGCGCCGCCGTTCGCGGTTGATGTCGGCGAGCCGGTCCTGCTGCGCCGCGTTCGTCGACGTCGTCTTGGGCGCGTCGAGCGTCGTGCGGAACGCGAGCCGGTTGCTCAGCAGGTCGTCCAGCTCCTCCTGCAGCTCCGCGATCCGCCGCGTGTGCCCGGCCGCCGTCGCCTCCTCAATCTCCCACCGCAGACGGTCGCGCCGCTCGGGGTCAAACTTTTTCCGCAGCTCGTTCTTGCGCGCCACCTTTTCGTCAATCTCGGCGCTCGTGAGGCTGCGCTCGACAAACTTGTTGATGTCGTCAATCTTGTTGAGGAGCACCTGCGTCTTGGGGAACGCCATGCCGTCCACCTGCAGCGTCGTCACGTAGCGGTTGAATTCGCGCTGTGCTGCCTGTCAGTCAAGGGCTCTGAGAGGGACCCCCCAGGTCAAGGAAACATTCGGCCCAGTCTCACCTCTGTGACGGGTTTGTCGGAGCAGAAAATAAAGGCAAACTCCTTCTCCGCCTTGCCGTGCGCCGCAATCACGTACTGATCCGTCACAAAAGACCCGCTGGGACCGTTGAGCGCGTAGGGCTTACCCACGGCGATGCCTGCCAATCGTCAGCGAGAAGCCCGAGGACGAGTAACTCCGGAATAAACACGTACCCTTGATCTTTGCCAGGCGGTAGTCGTCCTGTCCCGTCTTGGGGTCAGGACCCAGACTGACGCGGACGTAACAGCCCGTGATGGCGTTCTCAAATCCAGGGTTGAAGCAGTACTGAGCAAAGCGGGCTGCGTCCGACACGAATGCGCTCGAAATCACGGATCGTGGCCGGCGGCAGCTCGCGGGGGCGGCGAGTGCCTGTCTTGGGAGAAGGAGCGCCGGCGGCCGCCGTCGTACGAGTCGCGCGAACGCGATCGCGACGACGAGTGTCGGCGGTCATGGTGAGGCGAGTCGCGACCCGTGCGGCGGTTCTCCTCACGGGCGCGGGCGCGGTCGTTCTTCTCGGCGCGGGCGCGGCGCAGCGAGTCGATGGCGGCGCCCGTCTTGCTCGTTTCGGTGCGCTGGCGGGCCGACTTGTGGGAGTCCTCGTCGTCGAGGTCGGCGGCATCGGCCGTCCGCTTCTTGACCTTGTTCTTCTTCTCCTCGTTCTCCTGCTTGGCCACGAGCTGCCGCAGCATGCGGTTCTGCTGCTGGCGTTCAATCTCGGCCTGGCGGTCGGCGAGCAGCGACTCACGCTCGACCTCGCGCATGCCCATAACATGCTTCTTCTCCGCGGCGCTGCGGAACATGCCGTCTACGGGGTACTTGTCTTCGTCGTCTGGGTCGGCTGAGCCCTCGGCTTCCGAGTCGGACTCGTCCATGGCTGCTGAGCCGTCGGATTTGGGACTGCCTGGTGGCGAGAAGCTGCGCAGCGTCAGGAGGTCTGGCTCTTGGAAACGAACGAAGGAACGGGCGCAACAGGAGAAAGAAGAAAGAACGTCGTGAACGTCGTCAATGGGGCGTGGCAACTTACGCCTCGCCTTCCTCGGCATCTGAATCATCGTCACCGCGGCCCCTGGCCCCCCTTTTCGCGCCACTGCCAGCCTTCTTGGACGGAGGCGGCGAGGCAGAGTCGGCCCTGCTGTCCCTGTCCGACATGACCTCCTCCTCGTCGGACGAGTCATTGCCGCCTGCAAGAGCCAGAAGCTCGTCGTCAATGTTGCTCATGATGACCTGTGTGCGATGTGTGACGGCGGCGTTGGCGGGGTTCGGGTCGATGGGGGGGGGGAGGGGAGGAGGGAGAGGGAAGAAGGATGCCAGGGTTTCGTGTTCGGGGGCGGATCTCTCCCAGAAAAAGGTAAAAGTGACTTGGTCGTTGGGAAACGGGATGCGACGAATCCAAAGTCGCGACTCGACGAACGTGCTGTGCCTGTGCCTTGTCGGACGATTATGTCATCCGCATCCTGCACCAGGTGCTACGGTGCTGCATAAGGGCTGCATAAGGTACGTACCTTATCGGAGTGGGCCACTCTTTTGTCGTTCGATCATCAGTGTTCGAGTCGATGATCATGATGGGTCCTTCACTCTACGACTTCA